CCCCCCCCCTTTTGAACTGTGAGCCGCCCTGAGTCCCCCCAGGGAAAAGGGCGGCATACAAATAAAGTGAAACTAAACTAAACTAAACTCTCTCTGCCTCTGTCTCTGTATCTCTGTCTCTCTCTGCCTCTCCCTCTGTGTCTCTGTCTCCCTCTATGTCTGTCTCTCTGTCTCTCTCTGTGTTTGTATCTCTGTCTCTGCTTCTCTCTCTGTCTTTCTGCCTCTCTCTGTCTGCATCTCTCTTTCTCTCTCTTTGTCTCTGTCTCTCTGGATTTTCTGCCCTGTTCTGTGGTTCAGAATAAGATTGAGGAGAATGATGAAGGTCAGACCAGGAGTGGAGAGATCCAGATTCGAGTCTATCATTGGCCACCAAAACAAAATGCTGATTTTAGGCCAGTCATTCAACCGGTCTCTTAAGGACCATTCAAAGTTACAACAGACTTTCCCCAGGCTACGTACAATCTTGATTCAAAGTTACGATCACCAATCCCCTACCCCAAATTACATGATTGCATCTGGGGGTGCCCGCATGTACAGCTTTTTGCCGCATCCTGTGGTCATGTGACCATCATTTACAATGGGATTTTTGGGGGGGGGGGCAGAAAATGTTTTTGCGTCCAGTTTTCAGCAATCTACCATCAGTAGAGGGAAACATATATTTGTAGACACACACATTTTACAATTTTAGGGATAAGCAGCATAATGCAAAATGGAGACAGTCAGCCGAAGAAATTAAAAGCGTGAGATAAGGAGAAGAAACTAAAATAGAACTTTGTCTATAAATCTGCCGGCTTGTGTTTTCTTTTTCCGAAAGCAAAACAGTATCATTAAATCTTTATCTGCTTTGCATTGGCCAGTGACTGAATTTCTTTTCTTTTAAAAAAACCCAGTTAGCTGGCTTTCAAAATTAAACCCATGGAAATCAATGGAAATGGGGCTAATTCTTCAACTGAAGACTTGTGCAATTGCACGTGAACTTTTCATGGTAGAATCCTTAGGTTTCAGGCTCTTGCATTCAATTTTTCTGGGGTTGACAAATAGTTCCACTTCCAAAACAAGAGTTTTGGAGCTTGATGACCCCTCCCCTACTTCCTTTCAGTGAAGGACTACCTTGATGATGGCCTTCAGCTTCTTGGTTCCCAGTAGGACAGATGAGTCCATTGAAGCAACTGTTGCAATAAACTAGAAAAAGAATCCAGAGGACAGCAATAGCACTTATATACCGCTTCACAGTGCTTGACAGCCGTTTAAGCACTTTAAAGAGTCAGCCTATTGCCCCCAACAATCCGGGTCCTCATTTTACCGACCTCGGAAGGATGAAAAGCTGAGTCTACCTTGAGCCGCTCAGAATCGAACTCCTGACAGTCGGCAGAATTACCCAGCAATGCTGCATTCTAACCACTGTGATTAGGTGGATCATGGATAATCCATCTAATCCACCTACCGTGTTTCCCACAGAATAAGACAGGGTCTTATTTTCTTTTGACCCCCCCCCCCCAAATAAGCACTTGACCTTATTTTTGGAGGGGGGGGTCTCATTATTTTTGAGGTGTAAGAGCCGGCGAGCATGGCCACCTCATGGCTGCTGCTGTGTTTCAATGCTTTCTGGGAGGGCTTATTTTTTTNAAATTTTCAATTAAAAAAAAAGAAATGTGAAATTTTGCCTGTGATGAAGCAACAGGAACATCTCCAAGGGGCGGGGGAAAATGAATGATTACTCTCTACTTGCCCCCATCCAGTGTCAGTTCTGTTTTCTGGCTTGTTATCAGAAGATCACATCTCCCAGGAGGAAACGAAGGAACAGGGTACTTCTTTACCTTAAGGTGAGAAATATTTCTTTTTACGTGATTTTTATTAAACATATTTTTTTTTAAAAAGGAAGATAAAAAGTGAGACATTTCCAGTTTCAGCCATATTATTTTCTTTCCATATTATTCCATCTTAAGCTTAACTTCTTCTTAATACGGAAACAATATCATTATTTGCCCCTTCAAAGTTAGCCAAATTTATCTTCTCATTTCCATCTGTTATTCTATTGTACTATAGGTAGCATATATCCTCAAATTCAATTTTTTTTAATGTAATAAGCATTTCACTTAATTAGTTATCCACAGTTAATAATGTTAATATAGTTCCCTCATATCTTTATTAGCTACATAGCATCAACAATGTTAACACATTTTTATGAAATGATAAAATTGTTTAGCACGTAGACTTATATTGTGTATGGCTCCATAGTGTTTTGCAGCCCTCTCTGGCTGGTTTACAACGTCAGTATAATTTCTCCTCAACAACCTGATCCTCATTTTACCATCAAACTCTGACTTTACTTTGATATAAGTTCTCCAAGTTGCAAAATGTTTACTACGTTCCCTGGACGGGTCATCTTCACCTTCTCCCTTTCCTCTTCGCAGTTCTTAGAGAAGGAAACTTAGGAAGGACCTATTCCTGATGAGTCAAGCTATTAAAAGCGACCCCTGGAAATTGATATATTCAGAGTTGCAATGATTCTGTCATGTAGCTTTACAGTCAAGTGGCATTTGTTCCCCTGGTTCGGTTTCCTGTCCATTGTACCGGGAGGGATGATAGCTATACGCTTAAGTTTGTTCAGCCTCACATGATTTTTTGGCTTTGTGCTTTTTCTTAGCTGTCAGGGTTCCCCCCCCCCCATTTTTTGTTTGATGCTTTTAATAGACAAGTGATGTTGCAACAAGATGACCATTTGGTTTCTGGCATCGGAAAGATTTCTCAACCTGCCTCCTGTTCAGCTCTTTTCTGTACGAAGGGAAATGTAGAAGAGAGCAAACAATGATTTCCTGTCTTGGCTAACACTCCCCACCCCCCACGTATCCTGCCTTGCCTTCGTCCTGCATTATTTCGTTCTATGACTTGCCTTACCTTGGCAAGGTTGGCCTGGTTGACTTTGGATGTAAAGAAACCGACTAAAGAAGGGATGTCTTGATGTTGAGTAAGAGCCTGAGGAAATCTCTTTGACCAATGGCCATCACATCATTTCCACAAGCAGGAAACGGGAAAGAAGAAGGAAGAAGAAGATGAGGAGGAGGAGGAGGAGGAGGGAGAAAGAGAGGGGGGAATTGTACATTTATTTACTCATGTGTGCGTATATACATACTTATGTAAGAGAAACAACCTCTTTTCATCTAAAAATTTCTTAAAATCTAAATCAGTTTTAAAAATCTTCCCAAACTCCAACTCTTAGGTATGGCTTGCAATGATAAAGAAAATAGCACGTTGTTATTTTCATAGTGCAGCTTGTCACCTGAGATGGATAGATTCCTCAAAGAATAGCTTTATTGGAAATATCATATTGGCACCTATCTGGTGAAAACCAGCTCTAAGGCCTCCCCCCTAATAAAAAGTAAAAGTTTTTCTACTTTCTCAAAACAATCAGTCCCAATCATGGTGTGGGCTGGCAGCTGGGCAGCATCACTCTGCCTTCCTCCAACCAGGTGTGAGAATGACCTTGGTTCCCAAGAGAAAACATTTTGTTTTGGCTACAGAATCCCCTCTACCTCAAATCCCCACTCCCCATCCCTCGGCTCCAATGTGGCAACACTGAAGCGGTTCAAAATGGCTTTGGTCAGGTCAGCTTCAGGGTTGACACACATCAGCTCAACCATTCCTGTGTCTTTGCTTTTAGGAAAAGGAGCAACGTTCATCCGTCTCCATCAGAAGAAGAAATGAGCAACACCACTCTGAACGATACTGAGGATGACTACTATGATTATGACGAGTCAGCCTATCGACTGACAAAAGCAATTCACATTGTCTCCATGGTGATCTACAGCCTTGCATTTGTGCTGGGGGTCCTTGGCAATGGGCTGGTCATCTTCATCATCGGCTTCCGAATGAAGAAGACGGTCAACACGATCTGGTTTCTCAACTTGGCCATTGCGGACTTTGCCTTCACTTTCTTCCTTCCCCTGAGCGTCGCTTATTTAGCCCTGGAATTCCACTGGCCCTTTGGTCAGTTCTTGTGCAAAGCGAACAGCACCGTGGCTTTCCTCAACCTCTATGCCAGTGTTTATATCCTCATGGTCATCAGCATTGACCGTTGCATTTCTGTCCTGTATCCCGTCTGGGCTCAGAATCACCGAAAACCTCGGTGGGCTTCTTTTGTGGCTGTGGGTGTGTGGATCTGGGCCCTGGTGTTGTGTTCTCCAGTCATGTATTTCAGGCAAACAGCACCACATGTACAAGACCCGGAATATATTAACTGCTACAACAATTATGGTAACACCCCAGAGGTTGAAAAAACCAGACATCATGCAATGATAATCTCCCGGTTCATCTTAGCCTTCCTCATTCCCTTCACGGTTATTCTGATCTGCTACGGGGCGATTGTCTTGAAACTGAGACGCAGTCGTTTGTCCCAATCTAACAAACCCTTTCAGGTCATCACCGCAGTGATCGTTACTTTTTTTGTCTGCTGGTTCCCTTATCATCTTTTTAGCTTCTTTGAGTTGAGAGGATATTTAGATTTGGTGAGGATCGGTATTCCCTTTGCAACAAGCCTGGCTTTCATCAACAGCTGCCTCAACCCCATTTTGTATGTCTTCATCGGCCAGGATTTCAAAACGAGACTGAGACGGTCCATCCTTTCTGTATTTGAGAATGCTTTCACAGAAGACAACAGCCAGAGCATAGTAACTAATAAGACTAAATCTTCAGTGGACACCACGTCCCAGGAGGTCTGAATCCTGCTGAGATCTCGGTTCCCCAAACCCTCCCCATGCCAGCTTGTCAAATCAACCCCTTTCGCATTGCTCCATGGCCCCCCCATCTCCTTGCTTTGAGGTTCTCTGAGGAACATCTGAAGAACCCATCACGAAATCTACTGCATGGATGTAGAAATGGCACCTTTGCAACAGTGGCGAATATCTGTAGCTCGGGTGTAGGATGAGGATGAGAGCTCATTCTCTGAGCTTGTGTTTCGGTTTCTGAACACTTCATTACTAGGCTAAGTAACCTCACCAGCGGAGTTTAATGCATTTCTGTAATCCTCATCTGGTTCCCAATGAAAATACCATGTTTCCCCTTTTTACTATTGTTGTTATTAATATGCTTTATATATAGTCCAAAAATGTTTGTAACCTTCCCTTCGCAGGTAACATTCAATATTCATATCTAATTATTACTTATCATAACAGCTCAACATTGTATACATAACATTTTTGGACTATATATAAAGCATATTAATAACAACAATAATAAAAAAGAACAAAAGTAGACACAGCTAAGTTTTAACTAATAGGGGGGAAATGTTATGATATACGAAAATACCATGTTTCCCCAAAAATAAGACCTCCCTGGATAATATTTATTAAAATGATTTATTGGATACATTATATTGGCACAACTGGTGAAAACCAATTCTGAAAGTTCCTGCGGGTTTCACCAGATTAAAAAGTGAAAGTTTCCCCTTCCCCCCAAATCATTAGTCATGTTGTCCAATTGAGGTGCTGGCTGGTTACTTGGTTACTCCACTCCTCCTCTCCCCAGCCATCTGTTGGAATGACCTTGGTTCCCACAGGAAAACCTTTTGTTTTCACTATAAAACTCCAGCTATGAATTTTCCCCCTCCCTGTCCCTTCTTGCTTGTGGCAAACCTGAAGCCTCCAAGATGGCCTCAGCCAGGTTCACTTCAGGGTTGACACTGTATGTGTGAGTACGCACACACACACAGAAACACACACACACACACACACCTACATGTATATGAAATTACTTTTACCAGCATCAGAAGTTATAGTTAAATAAAAAAAAATTGATAATGATAATAATGTATACAATGTGTACTGTTATGATAAGCAATAATTGGATATGAATATTGAATGATACCCATGAAGGGAAGATTAGAAAACTTTTTGGATTATATATTAAGGTCAATTTTAAAAAAGAGCTAAATTAGATAGAGTCAAGTTTTGACTATTAGGGGGGAAATGTTATGATATAGGATATAGTCAAATAAAGAAGGATTAATGATAAATAGTTTATATATAGGTATGGGTACATCACAAGGAAACTGGATGTAAATTGTAAACAGTGTTTTGAAAAGGAGGATTGGAAAATGTTGTTACTAAATATTATGGATGTTTAGCTAGAATAGGACATAAGGACTCAATACTATTGGAGGATTTTAGAAATAGTAAATGAAATGCCAGTATGTGGTTATGTATTAAATNTCCTGAGCCAACATTTTGGTTGCTAAGCAAGAGCGTTCTTAAGTGAGTTTCACCACATTTTACAAGTTGGCCACTCCCACCCGGTCACATGACCATCAAGCCACTCCTACAAAGCAGGCCACACCTACAGAAGAGGTTCTTAAAAAATTTGAAACCCACCACTGGTCATACGCCACGGGTCACCTGTAAGGGGCTCCTTCATGCCATGCCCTCTGATCCAAGGGGGGGGGGCACCCAGCCAGGAAGGACATGGCCCCCATCCCATCTTCCTTTGCACATTAAGCAAAAATCAGAAGGTACCCGTAGACATTTGAAAAGCCTCCCTCCCTCCAAATTCAAGGAGACACTTTTCATCCTTTTTGCTTCAGGCTCAATGTTCTTGCACATCAATCCGTCTGGAAGTGAGGGGACTCAGGAAGAAGTAACTCCCCCTCCCCATAAAAAGATGAGAATGGCACGCCTCATTTGCCTCCCATCCCTAAAGCAGCTAAACTCAGCAGGGAATGATAGCCAGCGTCAGCGTAATGGTCTCCCTGATTGAGAAAGGACACCGTCCCAGCGTTATTCCAAGAAAATAAAGCCGACAAAGAGAAGTCGCATGCTCTGAAAAATCTTTTTTGCAAGAGTTGATGAAGCCAGAAGCCCACGAAGCTGTGACTTCAACATCACCGGCCCGATTGATGGGCGCCATTTCTTCTGCCGTGGGTGTGATGGACTTTGATCAGCCGCGACAACAGCCCATCCTGGCTGAAATTTGTTATGCGGCTCGATTCCTAATTGGGCAGATTAACAAACTCCCGCACTTTGTGCCTCTTTCCAAAGGCCGCTGGCAGTCCGAGTGTCTGGACATCTCTCCTCTGACGTCTGCTTGATGATAGAAACGTATCCTGGGCTGTTTGTCTGCAGAGAAGTCGTTTTTCAGAAGCAACGATTTTCTTCCTACCATCAACAGATTTTTATCTGTGACTTGCACCACTGACGCATCACTGTCTTGGTCTCCTTTTTTTTTTCGTGCACGGGGTTTTGAAATGATTGCATTCTCTTATAATCATCTGAAGTAAGGGAAGAAATCCTATCTCTCAAAAAGTTCCCAACTCCCATTACTGGTGGGGAAATATATTTTATGCTCTCTCTGTCTCTCTCTGCCTCTCCCTCTGTGTCTCTCTCTCTCTCTGTGTCTGTCTCTCTGTCTCTCTCTGCCTCTGCCTCTTCCTCTCTGTCTCTGTCTCCCTCTGTGTCTCTGTCTCTGTCTCTCTCTCTNACTGCAGTCAGGTGAAGTAGCCTGCAGTGCTGCGCCACCTCGGCTCTGATGAAGCTCCTGAAGCCTCCGGAGGGTCTCCGGTGGGGAGCTGTTTTCGCCCTCCCCAGGCTCCTATAAAGCTTCTGGAGCCCGGGGAGGACAAAAAATGGCTTTTAAAAAGGCTGAACTCAGTTTGCCAGCTCGCACATGCGCACTAGCCAGCTGACAGGGCAACGCCTCGCGTGATAGGTTCGGCATCCCGGGTTTAGGGTATAACCCTGGGAATAATAAGCCAATATATCTGGAGGCCAAAGGCTGTAGAAGGCTGAAATAAACAGTGGGGAAGAGTAAACATTAGGAAATTTGAGAAATAACAAATTTGTTGAAATGGACACAGAGAGTTCTGTTGAAAAGTGAATGCCACCACTGAAAAGACCTCGTTTCAGAAATATCCATTGAACTCATCCAAGAATTCATTTGCAAAATGTGGGTTTGCTGGGGGAGTGGGGGGAGCATGTTACTCAGAACACAGATGGGTCCCAGATGACACTTTGTACATGTGTCAAAGTGTGCTCACATAATCTGCTTAATCTGGTTCCGGAATTAACCCAGGTTCTGGTATTAACCAAGCGGTTGAATTCAGTCAGCATAACCAGCCACCTCATAATTTGGTTAGGAGCCAGATCCTAACCAAATTTCATCCTGGCCAAGTTCAGTATTGTTCTGCAATTGTGTTCTCCTTGGTCATTACTTGGTTCAGCTAACTGGATTGTTTGAAGGAAGCCATAAGAATCTATGGAGATTCTCACTCATCCAAGTCATGGCTGCCCCAAAGGTGCTTTTTCAAAAGGCAACTGGACTTTGTTGTTCCTTGAAGACGGTTCGCTTCTCATCCAAAAAGCTTCCTCAGTTCTTCAGAACCTCTTGAATGACAAGCGAAACAGCTTCAAAGAAAGACAAAGCGCAGTTGCCTTTTGAAAAAGCATCTTTGGGAAGCCATCAGAGCTGCTCACACTTCACCAAGCTAATAGCCATGCTAAAGGTGGCAATGAAGATTAAGCTTGATGAGTTCTGACTTTGTGGCCGAGCGCCATTTGGTTAGTTTACAGTTTGCTGTGCTATGCGAATCAAGATAACGGGTGACTTCAGGAAGTACACTGTGTGATTACAGCTATGGCCATGTTCTCGGTATAAGAAGAATACTGTATTTTTCGGACTGTAAGACGCACTGGAGTATAAGACACACCATGATTTTGAAGAGGTAAATTTTTAAAAAAAGTTTTTGCACTCTGCAGGCCTCCCAAACCCTCTGCACGTCTTGGTTTTTTTTGCAAAAATGGGGGAAGGGGTTTCGGTAGGCCACAAATGCTGTATTCATTGTATAAGATGCACCAAATTTTCACCATCTTTTTTTTTGGGGGGGAAAGGTGCATCTTATACTCCGAAAAATAACTCACACCATGCTGTATTCCACTATTCCTGAAGTAGAACCAGAATTCCTATTACTTGAAAAAGAGGACGTGGCCCAGTTTTCACTAAAAGCACTTTTGAAAGCTGAGAGGAAGGAACGCCAGCTATTTTTTCTAAAATCCGAACCCACGAAAGCATACAGGAATGGATTGAGGCAGCTGTTGAGACACACCAAACCATTAGCCAACGGCAGCCCAATATCAATGACCATGCTCATTTCGAAGCTCTCATCAACCAAGTTCTCTAGAATGGAGAAGAAGTGGTGAGGGAACCAACAGCAGAAGAATGCTACCACTACCGCCACCATGATTTTGAAGGATCTACCAGACTGACCAAAGAGCTTCCTTCTGAGCTTAAAGACAATGATGCAGTAACAAGCCAAGATGATGTTGAAGGGGATGAAGAATCCAATTACAAATTCAGTCACCACCATGGAAAGATGGGACTGGTGGCTGCTGGCTTCTTCCAAGCCAAAGCTATAGGAGCACTTGACAGAGTCGTCCGTATCATATTCCATGTCCCGGAAGTAGAGATAGGGGGTGCTGAGTGCCAAGGCCATCATCCAGATAAGGCCAACTATTAAGGAAGCCAGCCGAAGCGTGCGATGGTTCAACGACCAAATGGGGCACACTACGGAAACACAACGGTCAACACTGATGGCTGTCAAGAAGAAGACACTGGCAAACATGTTTAGGAAAGACACCACGGTGTCCAGTTTGCAGAATAGCCACCCAAGAGTCCATTCATGGAGGGCAAAATAGAGCAACTCTGAGGACAGAGAAAGGTCATATATGAAATCAGCTAGAGCCAAGTTGAGGTACCACATGGTGGTTACCGTCTTCTTCATTTGGAAGCCGGTGAGGAAGATGACAAGGCCGTTGCCGACGGTCCCGAAGAGTAAAGTGGTGCTGTAAATCACCATGGAGACCACGTGCATTGTGCTTGAGGCTTCAATATCCCCATACAAAATCTCAGAATCATTCAAGCTGAAATCATAGGTGTCATTCTCAACATAATCATACAGAACAGAAGTGAAGGATTCCATCCTTCTGAGGTTCAGCCCCTTTTCTTCTTCTGACGCTAAAAGATAAAAAAAAA